TGGTTAGGTAAGGAGGAGGAGGAGTTGGCTAGATGAATCATGGAGGGGGAGTGAGGAAAGAGAAAAGAAAGCATATGTCAGAGGTTTATTAAAAAGTTCTTAGAATTCATATTCTCCCCCATATACATTCATGCCTGAGGGGTGAGTTATACCTTCATTTGTCAATATCTGCAAAGCACTTTGAGATTATTCATTGAAAGGTATATTATATATATTTTAACAAATCAGACTCATAAGTTAAGGAAACTAGATATAACTTGCTTTTAAACATTTTCATTCAATAGCCCTTTTCCTGCAGTAACCCTTAATCTTTTTCACAAGCTGTAACAGTACCAAGACCAAGAAGGGTTTTCCAAAGAGTGGGTTTAGGAAGCTGATAAGAGAAGTATTCTTTAGGGCTTGGTAGCAGAGGTTACATTGCACAAAAACATATATCTCTTTGCAGTCTCATTGTTCTCTTGTCAACTATTGACATTTTGAAAGATTTACTGATGAATTTAAAAACTGCAGAACTTTTCAAGTTACTGATATGGATGTATTAGCCTATTTACAGATGTGCTGCTACATTTAATGCTTTTTCCTTCTACTATAGGGAGCCATTCATTACAACTCATAACTGGAGGAAAGGGCTTTACATGATTGTTGTTAACATTAAAAAAGACATATGCAAATTGTGTTTCCAAACAACTCTCCAAAGTTCAAGAACTGATGTTGCTAATTGAGTGACTCAGGAAAACCCTTAATAAATTATTTTGTCTAGCTGACTGATCACATAGGTCATTATGTATATTTTTTCAAAGTATGGAAAAGGAAAAGGAAGAAAACTGTACCAAGGACTATAATAGTTTCTTTAACTCTCGTGAGAGTTGTTTTGATCTAATAACGTGTGATTTCCGATTATAAAACTGAGCAAACTGAGTCCTAGACAATTATATAGCCAGAACATTTTTAAAAATCGAAGATTCTGATCCAAGATTATAACCTAGTTATGTCCCATCCAAAACCCATGTTTTTTTTTTATTACTATTCTAATGTTACCTTGTGGGGAAAAAGTGCTGTATGTGGAAAAACACATAGCATATTTATTGTCCTGTGTGTGAGCTGCTGCCATCCTTTGTCCCAAAACAAGTCCAAAGTATTGGTAGCCTACAAAGATTTTCATTAATTAAGATTACATTTTCAAAGAAGAATTTGGTCTTCTTTAAAGATTCGTCATGAAAACGCGAGGCAGAAAAACCTCATTTTATAAAGGGACAGTGTGAGTTGAAGAAATTTCCTCAGTGTTGCCAAAAAAAATTTAAGCCAGAGATTTTACTTCATAATTTAGGATTCCCTTCTAGTACATTTGCTCACGCTGCTTAGTATTAAAAAGGATTATGCTCATGTGGATTTTCTGACTTACTACTATGTCTTAGTTTTTCTTTTACTATCTAACCTTCTAAATGGAATTAAACTCTATCTAGTACATAGTAAATCAGTAAATAGACTACAGCATTTGCCCTGATGAAATTTCAGTTTCATGGTGAGGTACTGGGAAAATTCTGGCTCAGTTGTTACTGACATAGGAGGCTGTACAGTTATTTATTAGAAGACAGCCTGGGAGGAAAAGAGAAAATGGATTTATGTGATCTTGTATTGCTAAATACGGCACACTGCTGTTATCTTTTCTTTACTGCTTCCTCTAAAAGTCATCATTTCAATGCACTAATCTTTTTAACAGCCATTCAGTGGTAACTGGGCTAGAACTTTGCTAAGGGGTCACATTCACCAACCTGACAGTTATACATTTACAAAAGAAATAGCATGAATTTATTCAGCATCAAAACCTCTGCATCTTTTACCACCTAACTACATTTCACACTGTATTACCATCAGTGCACTATAATGGCTATATAAATTCCATCCAGATTCTTCATTTAATTAACTAGCATTCTTTGAACAAAAATAAAAGTGCTGTTTTTATAGAGGAATAAAAGCTGCACAAAGTGAGTGTGAAGAAGACAAATCATCAAATTAGTTATTCTTCCTTGCAACTATGGAGAATTTTCTGCTCTTCCTCTTTCTCTTTACAGGCTTTTTTTATTAGCTTGATTGAATGAAAAATGGAGAGTAAAGCAGCCTCAAATATGCCTATTGTAATGGCCACATCATAAGCTCATCCAGGGCTGGACAGTGATAATTAAGTCATCTACAAGTGACTTTTATTTCTAACATTTTCTGTAGTTGGCAAGGTAGTATAGCATAGTAGCCAAGAACATGAACTTTATAACTATACTGCCAAATCTTAGCTGTCGATTATTATGTTTTTGATTCTAAGTTACTTAACTTTCCTGTGCATCAATGTCCTATCTATAAAATGCAGATAATACTAGGAGGATAATAATAGACATATCCATGGCAGTGTGTGGATTAACTGAGTTGATGGATGTAAAACGTTGAGAACAGTGCTGGCACATAGTTAGCCATTACCTCCTGTATGCAGGGCAGCAGTCTGGTGTGAAGTTGATCCAGCTGTGTCACTAGAGACTCTCTCGATCATCTGAACAAAATTGACTAGTGGGGTAGGCTAGGTTAGTGTCCCTTTCTTTTCCAGATACTTCTTTCTAAAAATATTATTTTATTATATTACTTTCAGATACAAGAAAATAAAGTTCTTTGAGTCAAGGGCATAGAAGGCAATTGGTTGGCCACATCTCACCATCTGGCACCCTGCTGCCAGATTTAGCTTTCTAAAGCACTGTTTTCTCATATCATTTTCTGCTCAGAGGCCTTCAGGTCTTCTTCAGACTCAAGCTCCTTTGCCTGTCATGCTTGCCATTTCTACCAGAGCCTGACTCCCTCGCTCTCCCCAACCTTTTTTTATTCATTATTCCCCTATAGCAAGTCTCTACTCTAATCAAAATTAGTCTAGTATTGTTTCTCAGTGTGTCACATTTCTTGTCTCTATTCCTTTGTTCACATGGTTCTCTTTGTCTAACATCCTCTGTTCTTCATCCATTTATCTAAGTCATATCTGATGTTCTAAGTTGAGACAGAAAAGGAGAAGTTATCTTTTATCCCTTTGTATTTTTGTCATAAACATGGTTGCTAGATGCAATGGCTGCTAAATAAATGCTATCGATGAACGATCCTGTTGGCTTTACCTTCAAACTGTTTTTAGAATCTAGCCGTTTCACACCAGCTCTACCACTATCACCCTTACTTAGCTGCAGTTAATTTTTGCCTGTCTCCTTTTTCTTCTCCCTGCTTCCACCCTTGCTGACCACCTACAGTCTATTCTCAATACAGCAGCAAAAATAACACTTTTAAACTTTAAGTCAGATCACTTCAATTCTCTGCTCAAAATCCTCCAATCACGTCCCATCTCACCCTGAGTAATACCAAAGTCCTTGCAACAGCCTACAAATTCTCTTAGTCTCTGCCACTTCACTCCACCTCCATCCCTACATTCACTCTTGTTAGCACTCTGTCCTCATGTCTTATTATTCCCCTCTTCTGTACCACTCCTACCTCTGCTACACTGGCTTCCTTGCCATTTTCTGAAAGATGCAAAGCACAACTTCATCTGACGGCCTCCATGCAAACTGTTCGCTCTTCCTAGAAGGCTCCTCCTTAGGAAATCTTGACTCCATTCCTCCTGCAGGTCTCTGGTCAGTTATCTTCTCAATGAGACCTTTACCTCTCATCCCTGATTTACTATCTCCCCAAACTTAGAATGTAAATTTCAAGGAGCAAGAGGGAAGGCTTTTTGTCTATATTGTTTAGTGTTTACCCCCAAAACTTGAAGCAGAACCTGACACATAATAAATACTTAATACCATTATTGAATGTATGAATGAAACACTGACCCTTAAGAATATGCCAGCATTCCTAACCCTCCCAGCACTTCAAATGTATTTAGGCTCAAACTAAAGCAAATGTCCCATAACAGTTCTGAAAAAATTAAAATAGCCATAGTTTAATATTAGCCATGGCAATTGGAGCAGAAAGTTCTATTGCAAAGAAAAGAGATTTCTGCATCAAGTAAAGGAAAAGAAATGGTTTACAGTATATGAAGTGCCATATTAAATTATATTGGTGTCCTGGGGGACTGTCTTTGACCCAGTACCAAGGTACATTTTTTTCCCTCCAAGTACATTTTGAGAGAACAAGTAGTTTTGGCTACCGTATCCTCTTCCTAAGGTGGAAGTTATAGCTGTATGAGGGTTTTTTGTTTTTTTTTCTTTTAAAGGCAGAGTAAAACAATAGAAAGGCAGCATTAATGTTGGAGTCAGGCAGATCTAGTTTCAGATGCTGGCACTGCTGTGTGTCCTTTAACAGGTCATATAACTTCTCTGAGTCTTGCTTATGTATGACATGGTTTTTTTAATAATGTCTTTCTCTCAATATTGTTCTAAAGATTAAGTAAGAAAAGACACGTGAAGCACCTGAGACATAACATGTGGTTCATAAATGTCTTGTGAGCATTGCATTCAATAACACAGTTATGTATTTTGCTACTGAATTCTACCTTTTGGCTTAAGTACTAGATAGATTGATGTCCATGAGAAAACTTTGGCCCCTGGAGATTGGTCCATGGAGAAGCCTCAAACACTACCAAAAATCTCTCAGCAGCATCTGATGACACTGCAAGACCTTTTTAGAACATGAGTCCTACCACCTACTTTAGTTTTGTTGTAGCCTACTCTTTGTATCTTTTGAGCCCATTCTTATTCTTCTATTTTCCATTTTCAACTCTCTTCTACTTCCTTTATTTTCAAAATATTATGCTAGGTATGTGAAGTCAAGAGATTCCATGCTGAAATCAACTCCATACTGAAATCAACAAAGGAAAAAGTAAGATCAGGCAACTACCTCACTTAATAAAGAATAAAGAACTAAAGAATATATGTATGTGGACTTTTTAGAATTATAACTTCCAGGCAATGAAAATAGTTTGTATAAACCACTGACCTATTTCTTATGTATTTCTTAAATGACATTAATTTTGAAATCTTTAGGAAGCCAAAGCTGTAGTTGAAGAAACAAGAGCCCTGCGAAGTCGGATTCATCTTGCTGAAGCTGCACAGAGACAGGCACATGGAATGGAAATGGACTATGAAGAAGTGATCTGTCTGTTAGAGGCCGAGATTACAGAGCTAAAGGCTCAGCTTGCTGATTATTCTGACCAAAATAAAGTAAGCAAAGCAGTCATCTCTTCCAGTTACCATGGTTTCCTTGCCGTTGTCATGTATCCTGTTTTCATTTTCTTTCATCTGCACTTCTAAACTAGGTCAGTGTTTGTCTTCTATTATTCAGTGATAGGATGCTGTGTCCTGATGGGGGCAATGTAAAGGTCTTCAGCCTTTCTTTATCCAGATGGCTTTGGGATAGAAAAGCATGTGCCCCAAATTTATTTAGGTCATTGGTCAGCATTGTTCAGTTCAGGTATTAAATCCTGGAACTCTTTTTTTTTTTTTTGATATGGAGTTTTGCTCTTGTTGCCCAAGCTGGAGGACAATGGTACAATGTCAGCTCACAGCAACCACTGCCTCCCGGGTTCAAGTGATTCACCTGCCTCAGCCTCTTGAGTAGCTGCAATTACTGGCATGCACCACCATGCCCAGCTAATTTTGTATTTTTAGTAGAAACGGGTTTTCTCCATGTTGGTCAGACTGGTCTTGAACTCCTGACCTCAAGTGATCTGCCTGCATTAGCCTCTCAAAGTGCTGGGATTACAGGCATGAGCCATTGTGCCTGGCAGGAACTCTTTAATTGATTACATTGGTTTTCTTGTTTTTGTTTCTGAACTTGCTAATTTGTTTTATGAGAATGGGAGGAGGGATGTCTAGGGATGGGTTTGCTCTTTGATTAGAGCATTCAAGGAAGTGTAAAAGTGAAAGAATGTTTGCCTAAGGCCAATATAATTAATGGGAAGAAACTTGAGTTTGACTTTTTTTTCTAATATAAGGTTTACTAAATAGATGATTTTCCAATCTCAATAGCAAAATACTGAATGCTTTTCAGAAGTCGGTGTGAACTTTTTTTTTTTCTGAGATATAGTTTTGCTTTTGTCACTTAGGCTGGAGTACAGTGGGTGATCTTAGCTCACTGCAACCTCTGCCTCCCAGGTTCAGCTGATTCTCCTGCCTCACCCTCCTAAGTAGCTGGGGTTACAGGGGCCACCACCACCCCCAGCTAATTTTTTGTATTTTTGTAGAGACGGGGTTTCACCATGTTGGCCAGGCTGATCTCAACCTCCTGACCTCCTCACATGATCCACCCGCTTGGCCTCCCAAAGTGCTGGGATTACAGGTGTGAGCCACTGCGTCTGGCATTGCAAACTTTTTTATGCCATTTTTTTTTACATAATATGTACTATATTCAGTGAAGAGGCTTCAAAAAACTGTAATAGTCATATATATTTTTACTTCACTGAAGTAAGGTAGAAAATTGAGTAAACTGAAGTAAATATTCATAGAGTTGTTCACTTATAAACATAACTGGTATTTATATCTCTATTCCAATCAGTTTCTAAGAGAACATAAAGCAATTTGAATAATGACTATTTATTTAAACATTAAAAAGATGAATACTTTAAATATACAGTGTGAAAATGAAACTAGTGTTAGAAATGCAAAATACCAAAGAAAATTTGAAATCTGTTAAAAGTCACTAAACTATTTCTCACATCTGTTCATTTAAACCAATTCCACAGGAAGGCTGAAGTTCCCATCACCCTTTGCTGTCACCACAGGCCAAGAGTAAAACATTTTGTTGACAAAGCAGCAATATTTAGGAATATTACATATTTGTTATTTTTGACCTAGTTTTTACATTCTGAAAATAGAGATATGTGATTATGTTGTATAAATTTAGCCTGAGTATGAAAATATTTTGAGATTTATCAAAATATCAAAAGTACTATTTATTATGGTTACTTTTGAAGTGAAAATCAAGTGTTTAATATTTTATTTTTAAATAATATAACTTTCATGAGCATTCTCATGAATTTTTTTTTCTTTTTGAGCATGGGTTATCTGTAATCTCTCTTCTAGCTCTTAACTGAGAAACATTTTTGTCCTAAGTTGCCTGGTAATATAATTAATACAGTTTTTCTTTTATCATAATGGGGATCTCATGCCATTTCTCTTAACAAGACTCTAAGCCAGTAAGTAACCTGTCTCTGAAAAGTCTTTTTTGAAGAGCTGTTGGATATGGTCATCTCACTGTTCAACGTTTTCTAAACCCAATATCAGTGGAAAAAAAGAAGGAAACCTTTCTTTTTTTTTAATCATGAGATTGCTTAAAGAGATATTGACCAAGATGTTACAGAATTAAGATTCAAGTGTTTATTTGTAGGATAACAAATTATTTTTATAACAATGCTTTTATTTTTCATTATTTTTATTTTATGTTATCTATTTATTTACCTTTTGGAGTTTTTATTCACCTTCAACATAAGAAATAAAACATTCCTACTACCTTTGAAGACCTACAGTGTTTCTCTCTAATTGCATCTCCCACCCTTTCCCTCAGAGATAACCATTTTCTTGGATTTATTGTTAACCATTTTCTTGAATATTTTACTACTTATGTATATATTTCTTAAGAATGTGTTGTTTAGTTTTACCTGTTTATCAACTTTATATAACTAAAAATATACTCTATGAATCATTCTGACCTGCTTTTCTTCACTAAACATTTTGTTTTTGCCTTCCATCTATTTCAAGTTTTTAGCTATTTTGTGTCTTATTGTTTCTTTGTACTCTATTGCATGGATATACTACAGTGTAATTATCCACTCTGTATTTGATGGACAGTCCAACTGTTTCTGTTCTCTTCTGTTACAAATGGTGCTAAAACCATTTCAGTGCATGTATCCTGCTCCTCATGTGTAATAGTTACCTGCTAGAAGTAGAATTGCTAAGTTGAATAATTGTAAGTTTGGCTTTACTAGGTAATACCTATTTGTACTTGAAAGTGTTTGAACTAATTTGTACTCCCACCAGTAATAAATAACAATTATTGTTTACCCCACATATTTGCTGACCCCTTGTTTTATTTTACGTTTAATTTTTATCCATCTGGTAGGTGTAATAAGTGTTATGTCATTATAGTTTAATTTGAATTTTCAGGTTACTAATGGCTTTGAGACAGTGAAGGTGCTAGGATCAGCTGACACTAGCTCATGAGACCTGATTGCATGCATCTCTTCTCACCATGTACAGTGACATCAGATTGGTAGCTTGAAATCAGCCATAATGGAATTATTTCTACCCACAAATGTCATAACCCAAGGTTTCCTTCTCCCTGATAGTCAGTTAAGCATATATTTATTTATTAGGCATTTGTGTTTCCCTGTGAAATGCTTCTTCATATCTTTTGACCCTTTTCCTAGTGGATTAATTATCTTTTCATATAGATGTGTAGTGATTTTTCTGGTTACTAATCCTTTATTAAATGTTATGAAAGTCTTCTTCTAAATTTCTGGCTTGCCTTTTCACTCTGTGATGAAATGGATAGGAGTTTTTAATTTTCATGTAGACTAACTTAAAAATCTTTACCCTTGTGTCTTTTTAGAAATTTTTCCATTTTCAAGGATATAAAGATACTATTTTATATTTGCCTCTAAAAGTTTTAAAGTTTTGATCCTTCTGTATTGGTTTTGTGGTACTGTGTGAAGTGGGAATCCATTTCATTCTTTGTTTTTTTAAAATGAATATCTCTTAACCATTTACTAAAAAGCCCCTTCTTTCCTAGTTGATCTACAAAATCATCTCTGTTATATATGAAGATTTCATACATGTATGAATCTGTTTGAGGTTCTCTATTCTCTTTTGTTGGTCAATGTATATTCCTCTGTGAATAACACATAATGTTGCTTTACTGTATCTTTTACAGTAAGTCTTGGTGTCTGATTATCCTGCCTAATTCTTTTTCTTCACAAGTGTGTTGGCTACATGACCCTTTGATTTCTTTTATTATCTATTTTAGATTCAGCTTATCAATTCCATCAAAAGAAAAAATGTATTAGAATTTTCACTGAAAATTTATTAAATATATAGACTAAATTGGGAAGAACTTACATATTTGTGATTTTCTTTATTTGTGAACACCACTGAGACACAGAAAGGTTAATTTCAATGTGACAAGATGATTAGTTTATAGAATAATAACTTCAAAATTTGTTGATGTTTGCCTCATGACTTACCTTGGAGTCTGTTTACAAATGTTCAAAGAAAGCTTGAAAATAATTCTGCAATTGTTGGATGTTCTTGTTCTATATAATTCACTAGATTATATAGTCATTAAATTGTGGGGTTCAGTTCTTCTTTATTTATGTTAATTTCCTTGTCTGCTACAGCCATTATTTACTAATAGAAGTGTGCCAAAATCTGCCTTTTGGCTGCTCTTTTTAATTGTATATACTGTGAATTAATGGTTTTAGATGTATACGAGCTTGGAATTATGTTATCATTCTTTTATGATAATGTCATGCTCTTTAATCTCACAAAGGGTAAAAATACCCTTTAATGTCTATTTTTGATTGATAATAAATAGTAACACCATCTTTATTTTAGTTGGTATTTGTCTAAATACCATACATTTACTTTCAACTTTTCAATGAATTTTAATTGTATCCATGGTAAATAACATGTAGCTGGATTTTTCCCCCCATCTTACTAATTTTTGACCTTTAATTGGAAAGACCTTCCTATTTAAACTCTTTTATTTGTTCATGCACTTGGCCTGATTTCTGCCCTTTATTTGGTACATTTTATTTTCCCCATGTGCTCTAGTAGTTTTTCTGTTGGTTCAGATTTCTCCTATGTCACCTTGCCCCATATTCATTCCTCTCTATTTTCAAAGTTACACATTCTGTTTCTAATTTTTAATAATTATCCTAGAAATTATAACATTCTGTTTTAACTTCAATTATAAAATTAATCAGTACTTTTTCTCTTCTTCTAAATATTGTAAGCACTTTAGAACACAAATCCAATCATTATTCCTTACTTAATTTCCATTTCTGTCAGTATTTTAGTTCTTTCTTTACTTTTATGACCGCAAGTTAGCTATTGATTATTTGTTTTGTGTGGTCAGCATTTTCCTGATAGACTCCATGTTTACCATTTTCTGTTAAACATTCTTTCATCTTAGACCTTCTCACTTTGTTTCTTTCTTCATGAGTACATATTTCAGAAATTCATGTAGTGAGGATTTGGTGATAATAAGCTCTCACCATTTTATTTGTCTGAAGAACAACTTTATTCAACTCTTGTTCTTGAAATATATTTTTGCTACATTTAAAATGTTAAATTGGCATTTAATTTCTTTCACTGTTTTTATTTCATGTTTGTGATGTCAGCTGTCAGTCTGTCATTTGTTTGCAATCTGTTTCCTTCTATATGATTTTAATATCTCTTTGGCTTCAGTGTGCAGCAGTTTGACTATGATGAATCATGTGTTGACTTACTTTGATGTGTACTGTTTGGAATTCATTGAGCTTCCCGATTTGAAGAGCAATGTCTTCTGCCATTTCTGGAAATCACTAAGCTATTATCCTAAGCAATTTCTCTTTCATTCTTTTCATTTGCTCTTATGTAATTCAGATTGGATGTGTGCTGTAGCTTCTTCTGGCTGTTTTCTCTTTACCTTTTATTGCCATTTATATTTCAATTTTTGTCTTTCTGTTCCATTATGAGAAGTTTCTTTACCTTTGTTGTCAAGTTCACCCATTCTCTTTTCAATTGTATCTAACTGGATGTTAAATCTATAAATAAAGTTTCTATTAGTTATGTTACGTTTTTATTTTTGAGATTAATTTTTTATGTTATCGATCTATTTTGATAGTTTCTTATGTATTATACTTTCAATTCCCTCTTAATTTTAAAAACATATTAAACATAATTGCTTTATATTCTGTATCTGCTCACTCAAATATCTGCTGTCTTTATAGATCTGATACTATACTTTGTTTCCTTCAGTTAGCTTTAATTCATAGAGCTTATTTTCTCAGATATTCAGTGATTTTTGTTTGTATCTGTGAGGTCATGTTCTGTCGATGCATTATAAATGGGAATTCTTTGAGATTTGAGTTTTAAAAATAACTCTCCAGAGTTTTGAATTTGCTTCTGCTAGCCTGGGACCAATGTAAACTAAAATTTTAGCATATGGCTTTTCAGGCCACACAACACAGATAATGTAAATTCTGGCCCCAAACCTGCGTGAGTGGGGATTTTTGGTTAGGAATCATTCAGAGAAACTTTTTTACTTAAGTCTGAGCCAACATCAAAATACTGTTTACCTCTGTGAAGTTTACTTCTTCTTAGTTCACCCATTAAGGTTATTTTGTTTTCCATTTGTGCCTGATGAAACTGCAAACTGTAGGGCACCAGGGATCAGCATATACCCTCCAAGCAAATTATGCTTTAGTGCTCTCTTACCTCAGTGGGTTCATTTGGCTTTGCTGTTGCATGTCTCCATGGAATTCCTTTACTTTCTTGCTAGCTTTATCTTACATTGTGTGTGTGTGTGTGTGTGTGTGTGTGTGTGTGTGTCCAGAGCTTTTAGATGTGTTAAATTGGAAGAGGTTTCTGTCAGCATCTGGTAAGACATATTGAAAAAAAAAAAACCGTAAACTAATTTAAATGTATTTTACTGTAAGAATAAAGTCATATGCAACTTATCTCATAAAACTTGCAGTATCTCTCTGCAAATTAACTTTTAAATATACAGTTAGTTACATGCCCCCCCATAATCAGAAGATATGTATAGAAAAAGAAAAAAATAATTTGGCAATATTGATTATTATTTCATAAAAACTGAAAATCGGGACCAGTAATGTAAAACTGGAAAAATGTGTAAATGCTCCCTTTGATATCTCTGTGCAGGAAAGTGTTCAGGATTTAAAAAAGAGAATTATGGTACTTGACTGCCAATTACGAAAATCAGAAATGGCTCGAAAAACTTTTGAGGCATGCACTAAAAAGCTTCTTCATTTTGTAGAGGTAAGGTTTTCTGTTTTGTTATGTTCATCTTTAAAAAATATATAGGCAACTGGCATATGCATAAATGTTACTATATTTGGTACCTAGTGAAACATTCTCTAGTCTCAAAACAGCAATGCTGACTTATGGTCAGATTTAGAACTGCATAGATGATGAAAAGACTGGCTAACATTTTATAGATTGTTTAGAGAAATAATTGAGACAAGGTAATGTGATTCCAGATATAGACTATTTTAAAGAATACTTTCCTAAAAATCCTGATAATGTATAAACATTATTTGTTAACTGTTTACCTTATAAAGAAATGTTTTTATAGCTGTTATGTTTCTGAGTAAAATTGCATGTTAGTTCAATTGTTGTTTTCCCCCCACATAATAGAAACATCAGTTTAATCCATGGAAAGAGGAGGTTGTAAATATTAATCAAGAAAATACCCTTTTTAAAACTGTCAAACTTACATATCTTCTTCACCATCTTGTTTGTTGCTAGGCTATTCAAGAAGTATTTTCTGATAATTGTACTTCTCTTTCAAATTTAAGGTAAGAAAATTTAAGTGCTTTTTGTAGAATATCGGTAGTGATTGAATTCTTCACCTGGTCATTGTGACTAAAATACTAAAAATCTCTTAAATAATCCTAAGATGCTACATAATTCCCATTGGATGCCGTCGTATGGAAATAGGTGCAAGGACATATTGGTTTGGGTTGCATCTCTATTAAAGAAATTTCTGTAGGCATTTAGTCAATCATTGTAACCTTGTCCTCTAAAATTGAGGTAGGAACCACCTATCCTGTCTTTGTCAAAAATTCTATAAAGATGAGATTAACTTGAAATTCTTTAATTGTCCTGTATATGAATAAAAGTTTCTGGTCACAGATTCACTCCTAAAAGCAACCCAGCAGATTAGTTTTTCTAGCAAACAGAATTTTGGAAAACATATTTGTGCAATCATTTTCTTTCATTTTCATCTTTCAGTAGATATAAATAAAATCAATATATTTGGAGAGTAGACCTTGATTGTCTTATTCATAATATGTTTTGGATTTAAAGTTTCTTGCTAGAACCTGCAAACATACTAATCAAATTTATTTATTTCAAACCACAAGTTTATGGTCATTTCGATACATGATGAAAGACATTTACAAAAGCAAGGTTCCTGTTTATGCATTTCCAAAGTAATTTTTTTAATCTCATAACTGCCACTAGTCCTAAATACATCTTCTTCTTCTAACAGTATACATTTGCAGAAACAGGAAGACTCAATGAGTTTGGATGTGTGGTGCATGCCTGCAATCCTAGTATTTTGGGAGGCGGAGGCAAGAGGATCACTTGAGCCCAGGAGTTTGAGACAAGCAACATAGTGACAACATAGTGGGACCCCATCTCTACCAAAAAAAAACCTAGCTGTGTGTGGTGGTGCATTCCTGTAGTCTCAGCAATACTTGAAAGGCTGAGCTGAGGCAGGAGAATTGCTGGAGCCCAGGAATTCTAGGAGATTGAGGCAGCAATGAGCTGTGATAATACCACTGCACCCCAGCCTAGACAACATAGTGACACCCTGTCTCAGGAAATAAATAAATGTTCTACCCTTTGCTGTGAAAACAGCAGCTTAATAAATGAAGACATTTTTGGTGTCCACATAGCATTTTTTAATGTAAAAGAATATTTATAATACACTTCTAAGCTCATTTTAGTATAATGTTTTACTTCTTATGATGAAGGAATCTGGCATATCTTCTCACTATCCATGCTGCTTATGATACAAGATAACTCTGTGATAACTGATTATTACTCTCAGTAAGGATCTAAAAATAATCAGTAATCATATTTATTTATTTCTTGTATGAGTTAAGTGTGTCACCCACCCTCAGCCTCCTAAGGTCTTATTTTTACCTTGACTGATAATTCAAAAGTTTTGTTTTAAAAATTAAGGTTAAAATGACTATTTAAAGGCCAGAGTCTGCCCTTTCCTTAAACTGCTTCATGGAAAAAAAGACAATTGTAAATAGCTGCATCAAGCAATGTTTCATGGTGTCTTAGTAAATTAAACACTAGTAAAATCTGGTGCAGTCATTTCAATATAGCATATCTTCTATATGGATATTGGCCTTGGTCATTCAATACAGGATAAAGGCTATGTATTTGCATTTGAGAATTGATGCTTTTGCTTCTTTTTGTTAATTAATATCATTATGCTTAGGAACATGGACTATAAATGATGATGATTTTGTCATCAGTTTAAAATTGTTTTTTTTTCAAGTAAGTTTTAGTGTAATGTTTTGAGGAAAGCATCTAATTTTTAAGTATGTCACAATGCATTCAGTTTAGGTGACATTTGCACTTTTTAAAGTGTTATAAATGCTCTAGGCTGTTTTTGATTTGAGGCAAAAAATTGAATAGTTTAAGCGATAATTTCAGGAGCAAATATATATATTAAATTTATATTTAATATTACTAAAAGTAATAATGAATGTATGTTTAATAAATTCATGTTTTATGCTTAATTTGAATTTATATAGAACTAAATAAAATTATATCATGTTAGCAAAACACAAGTACTCACAAAATAATCCCAATAAATGATTTAGGAGACAAGTCATCCTTCTGTTACTTCTTTCTCATGCATGAAGTCAACCTAATTTTAAAATATTTCTACTTCTTATGTAGTAAATAACTAAAAACAGAAATAATTGTTTTATGTGAATTACTTCAATTTTGGTTCTGTGAAATAATGCCCTCAGAAATAGAAATATTTTTGTACAAATCTATAACTAATACAACTTCGGATTTAGTAAAGGTAGATCTTTATTGTATAGTAAGTTCAACTTTATTTTATTGCCTTCATAGTGAAAGAAGAGCTGTGTTAGCTTCTCAGACTTCTCTCACACCACTGGGAAGGAATGGACATAACATCCCAGCCATGCTGGTGCTTGAATCTAAGGAACTTGTTAAATCTGTTCGTGCGTTACTTGATATGGATTGTAAGTTTTCTGCACTTTATCACTTTTTAAAAATAATTTCTTTAACAAAACAAAAGAAGAAAAAAATTGAAGTCAGTCGGTTGAATTTCATTATAGTGGCTTGCCTACAGCAAAACTGATAACTAATCAATAAAAATCTTAATGTACTAATCACAGGAGGAAAATATTTCCTTTATGTAAAGTGCTTAGAATGGCTTCCACCTGAAATAACTGATTAAGACATGCCTTTACATCTACTTCCATTCAGAGTTTCTTTGAATGGAAGAGTAAATGTAAAAATCAATCTGCAGCCGCTCTGGAAAACTGGAAGAGTGGAATCAGCATTGAGAAACTTGTAAATAATAATATACTACAGATGGAATAAGATTAAACATACAGTCCAACTGGGCAAAAGACCCCAAAACATAAATATGAAAGACAAAACTGAAGCAACGAGTTAAGTAGAACCATGGGGAAAAAACCCAGGGTCACAGACAGTGAAGACTGGGAACAGACTTTGGGGCAGTCAGCAGGGTAATTAATTAAAGGGCTTGGAATAGCTGAACCAGTTCCCTAGTCTTCAGAGCTTTTGACTCAGGCATTTCCTCCTATGCTGGGGCCAGTAGAATACCTCTCCAAAGGAACTACATGATCTGTCAATAGAGACTTCTAGAGTCAGCACTGGGCTAGAAAGAGAAGTAAGGCAATGCTCTAAGTAACTTCCATCATCCCAACCGACAGAGAGATCCTTGAGGAAAACTTAAATGACTGGACATGTTCCTTTTTCTCTCTTCATATCTCTCGGATGCTTTTGCCTCTTTATGAATTTCAACTCCCTTTATCTAACTACTTCTTACATACCCTTTATTTTCCTGCAATGAAAATTACAATTGACCTAACTATACCTATAATTTATTTAAAAAAAATAAGTGACATGCTAATGTACTATAGAGGAGAAATAAGAGGCAGGTAATTTATAATAAAATTATATATGTAAATGCTTTAGTACAACTATACTAGGATGTATAATGTAGTAATCAGATGTTTGCACCTAAACAGAGAATCACCACAAATGTTACAACCATGAATGTAGACTGATACAGGAACATTGTATCGTCATTTTAAATAGCTTGAGCAGATTGTCCTCAGTAATTTCCAAATGATTGTCCAAAATGGTGACCAATGGTAAAGTTCTGAACAGAAGAACGTAAACTCTTCCATCAATTTATATAGTAGGTACAAGCCTGGGAAATTTAATGTATATTAAAACTATGCAAAAATATTTGGGGTTTATCTAAAAACAGAATTGTGTTCCAAATTTAAGTAATTAAGAACATATTTTTTTACCACCATGAATATCTAGTAGGCCATTTAAAAATTATACAGGACACAGAACAATTCTTTGTTGCACAGACTGTTCAGTTCATCCTATGATAGGATGTTTAACATTCCTAGTACCCTTTCACTAAATGCCAAAAATATCCTTAAACACTGTGGCAATAGATAATGCCTTCACAAATTACCAAAAATGCCCCTAGGAGTAATACCATTCTTGGTGGGAACCTCTAATGTTGAGCCTTATTTAAAATATGAACCAACAACCAAGAATCACATAATAATGGTGAGGGGTGAGAAGAGCTATGTAACAGGGAGATTCTCAAGGGAAAAAAAAATTATCTTTAATTGAATAAAGATAATATAATATTCTGAAGATAACTATGTTATATTCTTGAAATAAAATGAAGTTATTATCCTTAAAGAGAGCCAATAACATATTGCATTCATAACACAAGAAGTAGTTGCATGAAAGAAAGCTTTATTTTTGTCTTTTCAAGGCAGGGTCTCACTTTATCACCCCGGCTGGAGTGCAATGGCTCAACCTCAGTGCACTGCAACTTCCTCCTCCCTTGCCCCTCACTCTCAACCCCAGGTCTCTCAGCTTGTCAAGTAGCTGAGAGCACAGGTGTACACCACTATGCCCAGCTATATTTTTGTTTTTAATAGAGACTGGGTCTCCCCATGTTGCCCAGGCTGGTCTTGAACTCCTGAACTCAGGCAGTCCACCCACCTGGTCCTCCCAGAGTGTTGGGATTATAGCCATGAGCCACCACACCTAGCCAGAAGAAAGCTTTTAAAAAGTATTTTACATTTCCTTTTTCACTAAATGAAGATATTACTCAAAAAAGTTGTTTGAATATTAAATAATATAATTAATATAAAGCACTTACCTATCCCATTCCTAGCACAAAACACATACTCAGGAGTATGTTTTGAATTGTGGTTGAATGCATAGCACTTCTTTTTTAATAAGCTGTTCCATTTACCATTGCTACAGAACAAATCCACCCAAAAGTTAATGGCTTAAACCAGCAATTTAGTATTGTCTTTCATGGTCCTGTTGGTTAACTGGACTCAGCTCTTGTTAGGGGATTCTCCCGTGGTTGCAGTCAGATGTCTGTTGGGGTTGTAACAATCTGGTGACTCTACTGGGCTGGACATATAAGATGGGAACTCAGCTTTGGCTATCAACTGGAACACCTGCCTACATTTGTCCTCCATAGCATGGTGACTTCAAGGTAGTTAAACTTCTTAGATGGTAGTTCAAGGCTCCAGCATAGGTATTTCAGTGAACAATACAAAAGCTGTATCACCTTTTATAAACCAGCCTCAGGAGTCACACAGCCTCGCTTTCACCATATTCTATTCATCAGTGCATATTTGAGGGCATGGGACTTAGACTCTACCCATGTATGGGAAAGTGGTGAGGTTCCTTTATAGAAGAGCATATACTCAGAAGTTATTATTGTGGCCATCTTTGGAGAAAAAAATATGATACATTGGTATATGTTAAATGCAAGTTAATTTAGTTGGGATGGCTCAATAATCATTACAAGTATCCATTAATATATGGCATATTAGTAGATTAGTGTGTCACATTTTGGTTGTTTTTCTGTGTCTTCCCTAATGTCACCTTCCCTTCTTGTCTTTCTGCTTGCTTCTAACATGCCACCATCCCTCTAGTTTGCCACTTTTAATCTTCCCTATGATAGGGAATAGATGAAGAAAGAGAGAAAGATATAAAGTTCCTTGTTAGTTAAGTATCAAAATGATGTTTTCAGTACAGTTCTGGTTAACAGATGGCTTGGCTTGGTATAGGGTAACGTTCAAAGTCCGTTTGGGGTAAGTTCTGATTTCACAACTGTTATGGAGGATTAGAAACTATGTATCTCATAGTGTCTACTCAGTTTTCACAGTAAGTATATACTTAAAAATTTGTATAACCTAATACATTTGTAAAAATCAAATTGTATGTCAAAAACTCGTAAGAACTAATTATGTGAAGAAATTCTGTGGGTTTTAGGAGGAATGAAAATAATCACTTCTGATGTGTTATGTGTAAGTTCAGAATTTTATATATCAGACATTTTTATGTTGGGGTGGCAACAGTGGAAGAAAACACCTGCATAGACATAGCCCAGTGGACATTGCATCATTAATTTTCATTACCTTGCTAACATTAACTTCGATATCTGTCAAACACGATTTTTTAAAGAAAATATTTGAAATTCAGCAGAACTTCTTTGGAAGAAAAGTAAAACATTTCATCTGCACTTTTTTCCCCCAGTGACACCCAGTAATTTACAGGCCGGTTATAAATTAATTGTACAGTCAGGATTTTAAAATTTTATTTTAATTTTATTTGACAAATAATAATTGTATGTATGCATGGGGTACATACGTGTTGATATTTTGATACACAATATATAATCGTCAGATAAGAGTGACTAGCATATCCATCATCTCAAACATTGATCATTTCTTTGGGTTGGGAACATTCAATATCCTCCTCCTAGCTATTTCAAACTATATAGTACATTATTTTTAACTATACTCATCCTGTGCTAGCATAGAACACTAGAACTCATTTCTCCTATCTAGCTGTAATTTTTTATCCTTTCACAAATCTCTCTATCCCTCTGCTCTCCCTGTCCTTCCAGTCTCTAGTACCCTCTGTTCTACTTTTTACTTCTATGAGATCAACCTTTTTATACATACATACACACACCACATTTTCCTTATCCATTCATCTGTTGCTGGACACTAAGGTTGATTCCATATCTTGGCTATTGTGAATAGTGCTGCAATAAACATGGCAAGCTGTCTCTTCGATATGCTGATTTTCTTTTCTTTGGATAAATGCCCAGTAGTAGGATTGCTGGCTCATATTGTAGTTCTATTTTTGTTTCTTGCGGAGACTTTATACCATTCTTCATAGTGGCTCTACTAGTTTACATTCCCACCAATGGTGTACAAGGGTTCCCTTTTCATCTTCTCCAGCATTTACTTTTTGTGTTTTTGATAACAGTCATCCTAACTAGGGTGAGATGATAACTCATTGTGCCTTTGATTTGCATTTCACTGATGATTAGTGATAATGAACATTTTTCATCTATTTGCTGGCCATTTTTGTGTCTTCTTTTGGGAAATGTCTGTTAAGATCATTTGCCCATTTTTAAAATCAGATTGGTTGGAATTTTGCTATTGGTTTTCTGGTAGTAGTTTGAGTTTCTTCTATATTCTGGATATTAATTCCCTGTCAGATAAGTAGTTTGCAAATATTATCTCCAATTACGTAGGTTATCTTTTCGCTCTTCATTGTTACCTTTGCTGTGCAGAAGGTCTTTAGTTTGATATAATCTCATTTGTTTATTTTGCTTTTGTTGCCTGTGCTTTTGAGATCTCATTCATAAAATCTTTTCTCAGACCATTGTCTTGAAGTGTTTCCCCTGTTTTATCTGCTAGTAGTTTCATAGTTTCAGATCTTACATTTAGGTCTTTGATTTATTTTGAGTTGATTTTTGTATAGGGTGAGACACGGTGGTCTAGTTTTCATTCATCTGCATATGAATAGTTTTTCCAGTACCATTTATTGAAGAGACTATGCTTTCCCCAGTGCTTTTGGCACCTTTGTCAAAAATCAATTGGCTGTAAATATGTGGATTAATTTCTCAGTTGTCTAT